AACAACAACAGCTACGAAAACAGCTTACTGTATGAGCAATAACAGCAACAAAAGAGTTATTGCAATTTTAATTTTTAATTTCAACGCGACTATGACGACAGGTGAATAAACCATGGGTCACAATACACGACGTGGCTGCGACTCGACAGATCAAAAGAAACAAAAAAAAAAAAAAATAAACAAAACACATTATAAAAAAAATAACAATAAAAGCAAAGACAACATTTGGGCCATTTACCGTTGCGCCCTCGAGGCGTGGCCATGTTTCATTTTTGAGGCCAACATTAGTTTTGTGTCCAACAGCAACAAACTTTTCGGCAGCTACTGAATGGGGACTCCAAGCTGAAGCTGAAGCTGAAGCTGATGCTGATGCTGATGCTGGGGGCTTTGGCATTTTCCGTCTCGCTCGCTCGCCCGTTTGCCCGCTTAACGACCACAAATTCAACGGAAAAAATGGCGTTTAACTGTAACTGTGGGCAATGTGAAACATTTTCGGGTCAGGTGCTGCCAACGAGATTTCACCAAACAGCCAACGCCCCACAGTTTTCATTATCTTACGGTAATATCGCACATAAAGCCTTTGACTTTTGCTTGTATGTTGCTCTTTCATCATCATCATCAGCATCATCATCATTATGATGATCATTTGGTCAGCCTTCGCACATCTTGTGCTGATCTTTAGACACAGCTACAAATGCAACAACTACACACACACACACCACACACACACACGCACAGCTCGTTATGGTTTTCTACATGCCTGGCCTGGCCTGGCTCTGTGCTTCTGCAATATCTACACAAGCTCACCTTTTGCTGCTTTTATTGTATTTTATTTGCTGTATTTTTTTTTTGGTGTCGCTGTTCGTTTGGTTATTGCGCAGATTTATCTTAGAGTTTGCTCTTTTGATTGGTACGCTGTATACAGTCTTTGTTGTTGTTGTTGTTATTGTTGTTTTCTTTTTATTGCCCGTCGTTTGTTTTGTTGGGTCAACTGCTTTGCTGCAATTTCCGGTGAACAGGGCGCCGAAAAAGAAGCCAAATTTTAAATTGTGTCCATTTTGGTGTCGGTTTTAATCAAAAATAAAAAAGGTGAAAGAGACGCCGCAACTAAGCGTAAAGCTATTGCATTTTAGTACAAACGCTGGAAATTTTAATACATTGTGACAGTTAAGGTTTCTTCTTAAATAAAAAGAAATTAAGGAGAATTTCACCTAAAGCCTGCTCGCTTTCTCGATTTATCATAAGCGGAAAATGCCAACAAATTTATAAAAAAAAAGTATTCAAAAAGTATTTAAATATCTTAGTATTATTTAGAAAATTAATCATTTTTTAAACAACCAGGTAACCAAACATGTCAAAAGCAATATCAGGCGTTTGAGCTGGCTATTTTAAACCAATAACAAGCTTCTCGCTGTGAAACAAGGTCCTTATCTATGAGGTAAACCTTGCTCCTACGCGGCGATATGGGCTCCCACTTTACGGCCGAAAAAACTCACTTAAACAAAGTTCGCATCATCGAGGTCAAGCCATTTCAAAACATTTTTGAAGCCGAATGATATATTCGCACACGGCACATTGCAAGGAAGGCAAGGAACCTGCTAAGGAGACGAAGAACAAGGAGGCTTAAAGGGACCTACCCCACAGATCTGGTCGATCGATGTGTTTTACGTTAATTTTTTTTTCTTGTCAAGATTTTGAAATGATTTAGAAAAGGTTCCTCTATTAATTTACTGAACGGTTATAATTATAATATTGTCTATTTCTGCATCTGATATATATATATATCAATATTATATATATATATAAGTACTATCCAGTAACAAGCTTTTGTTTTGCATACCTCTCAAACTGATTAATATGATTTAAGTAAGAATATCACAAAGTGCGCAATATTATATTATAGCTCATGCATATATATATATATATATATATATATGCAAAACAAAAGCTTGTTACTGGATAGTACTTAAAAAAATGTACTCATATCATTGCTCATATTAAACCTGCTGTAAAATTCCGATGCTTTAGCGGACAACTGTTTTTAATTACCAACTCAAGCGAACAGAAACAGAACTGTGAATAATGTCACCCTATTAAAATGACACATTGTTTGTTGCAGCACCCGTGGGTCAAGGATAATGATTGGCCAGCTAAAAGTTTTCCAGATGGCAACAACAACAAATTGATTGCACACGCACTGGCTATGGTTTAATCATTACGTTTAAATCTAATAGGGCAGACAGTGCCAGAATTTTGTATATCCTATACACAAGGTAAATAGGTAAAATCGGGTATATCAAAGTGTAAATATATAATCTATATATATATAGACAGACTAAACGGAACATATGTATATAATTTCTCATATATGTATTATAAGAAAAGTAAGTTTATCATTTTATGCGATAACTCATCCCATTTTCTAAATATCGATAACTATCGATTATCAACGGAACTTTTTTGAGCATATCGATCAATAATTAATCAATAAAATCAAATAAATAAACGCTAAAATAATTGAATACACACAATTTGGTTGCGATTATATATAGATGAGGAATTTTAAACTGTTCGATATGTACACTTATGTGAATACAATATTTAGACCATTTATTATCATCAATTATAGCAATCGGACGAAATAAAAGAAAATCACTTCTAGTATGATTATTCCATAGTGTGTAAATATATAATGAATAAAGTATATGTACTGCGACTGGCTACAGGGTAGCTTCTATTTGGACACTTTCCAGTAGAGCACTTATGCCTTTTTGTTTGCAACAACATTTCTCATTTTGTTTTATTGCTTTGCCCAATGATGGGAGGGAGGGAATGGAAGGGAATGGTTGCGGCCACTGGGGTCAAAATTGCACACTTGGAACGCTCTCATCAACAGTAACAGCAACAGCAACACATGTCATTGTTACAGGTGAGCTGTCCCCTGTTCGCTGTTCGTTGTCTGCTGATTTGAGTGCGTTGATAACACAGCGCGAGATCTGCTGCAGCCGTTGAGTGCCCGGCAATGCCCCCAGTTTCGGACCCAGCTCCATTCCCATTCCATTTCGTACGCCTGACAAAACGCACTCCGCACGTACCGCTAATTAGCGCGCGTTTTAAGGCCCCCACCAGGCAGCCGGGCGCACGAGTCGACGGCCATTACGAACACAGGCACATATCACACACACACACACACACACACACACAAATATATATAATGCATTAGGAGGAGTTAGTGTAACAACTGAGCTGACGGAATGGCATGTGTTTGTTATATGACAAATTCTTGCCATATTCGCAGGTTCATTAATTAAAGAAAAGATTTGTTTGTTTGTCTTTCATATGATAACAATAATTTTCCTCATTTATAGTTTCTAGATGCCTTAATATGCAAATATAACAAATATCGACCTAACTGTATTTCCTTTACCTTTTCTCTTGGATTCAATAATATTGTCCTCCCTGATCACGTTATTGCCGAAATAACTCTTCCTACATAACCAGGTACATTCTTTTTACAACTTTACCTTGCATAATAGTATATATATATTGTCATCAAATGGCCCTTTACAATTTCCACTATCTACATTTAATTTCTTTGAAATCATTCTCCATGGTCACAATACGTAAGATATTCCCCAAAATAACCTTACTCTATTGCAGCACTTTTGTTTAATATCGTCATTCAAATTGGAATTTTTTAGTACTTACCTATACATTAGTTCCTCCTCGATCATTGTCTACCAATTTAATAGTATAGACCTCCATGGTCACAGTATTAACAATTTTAATTCTTCTTAGCAACATGGCTCTGGGAATAGAAATTATTAGCAGCTCCTTAAAATATACAACAGTTCCTTCAGTTTCTCAAGCTGCATTTCGCGAACAGCAACATGCCTAAAAGAACACAACACAAAATTATATGAAAATAACTTTTCAAATGTTTTTCAAATACATTTGCTTTTACCTAATTTGTTTCATATATTTTTCGGTTTTCGTTTTCAACACAAGAGCACATAATTATATTTCAATATTTTCGTGTAAATTTCTCGTTGACACTTAAATGCTAAATATTATGTACAAATATCCATCGGTCGAGTTGTGTTTGTGTGTGTGTGTGTCCCTTTGTGTGTGTGTGTGGGCATGGCCTAAGTACTACAAATACTCGTGTTTCAGCTCAAGCATTAAATGAACAAAAATAGTTTTAATAGCTTGCGAAAAGCTGTTGTTGAATTTGAATTCTTGTAAATAGATTTGTTTAGTTTACAAGCGAGTGCGGCGGTTAATTCATGTCTTATGTCTGAATATATCTCTTCACTCACTTTGTCTGACTTGTATATATATATATATATATGGAAGGAACAATGGACGACATATGCGAACGCATCACAGTCGTGTCGTTGTGTGTGTTTCCGTGTGTGTTTATGTCTTTTGATTGCTTAAGAGAATTAGATAACTGCAACGAGTATTCAAAGCGTAATCTGGTTTGTAATGAGTATTCAGCTCGAATGAGTAGTATTCATGCGTGTGATACAAAGCTGAGGCGCAAGTTAACGTATGAGTGCGTTTATGAGTAGCGTGCCTGCAAAAATATTATAAAATAAATACATGTATATTAAAATATTGAAAGCTACACGCAAAATAAAAGTACTCATTGCAGCACTCTGTTAAGTAGACAAATATTAGTAACATTAGTAATAATTAATCGCTTACTCCGGCAACATAAATGCAAAACGTAACATCAACTCTTAACAAATTGTTTTTGGTTATTTTTTATCATTTTTTTTTTAGCTCTAGGCTTACAACATTTTGGCTACCAAAAAATATGTAACGGCTTGAAAACGCTAAACAAAATTCGTTTCACATTTGCTTAATTTGACAAATATTTATGCGATTTGCGAGTGTGAAAAATGGACTAAAAACATTTAATGCACCATTTCAAATGCGAAATGTTTTTTTCTTGTTTTTTTTTTTTTTTTTTTGTTTTAGCCACATAATGTGTTAATTACTTTTGTTAATTACTTGTTATTGTGTTTACCATTAAGTACATATGTATAAGTTAGTTAGTTGCTTCCAACTCTGGACAAGACACACATTCAGCAAATTGCTCATATCATCAATATGTTAGTGAAAGATCGTTTAAAACATGGACTAGATGGGGTTGTGCATAGAAAAACTATTTACATGTGCGCTCGGGATAGCTAGTATTCGTTTTTAGTTAAGCTTAATTATCCGTATGATGATGCTGCTGCTGCTGTAGCTGCTGCTGCTGCTGTGACTGCTGTTGCTGCTGCTGCTGATGATGATAATGCAGAGAAGAGCCAGCTTGTGTGGAGGACGAAACAGATGTTGTTGTTACTGTTGCTGCAGGCTTGAGCGCAGGTCTGATATCATCAATTTGTATTAGCTGCTCGATGGGTATTAAGGACAGTTCACCGCCCACGGGCTGAGGCATTGGCAGCTTAGCCAGAGCCTGCAAAAAATGGAAAAAGAGTATACTATAGTCGTTGAAGTAGAAGAGATCTATCTCTCTTACCTTGGCATGCTCTACGGCAATGGTGGCCGCCTTTTCCGCCTCGCGCTGTCTTCGCTCCTTTAGCTTGAGCGAGAATATGGCCACAGATCGCGCGCTTTTAACCAACTTCTGTTTGAGCCGCGATTTCTTGGCCGCCAACTCGGCAGCTATAGTGAACAAATAATGGAAATTAATCAGATTTAGAGTTTACTTGATAGCATTACACAACTTTTTTAATTTACTTTAAATAAGATGAAACCAATTCGCATATAAATTTAATTCTTGCTCACAGCCACTTCCAATTCCACCCATTTTCCAAAAAATGTGAAACCCGTCTTTGTAAAACAAATTAATAAAAGATAAATAATAAATAAATAAATTCACACACAAATAGTCTCAAGTGACAAGACGTTTATGCACTGTACTTTGTTGATCAATCAATCAGTTTGTCAATCAATCAACCAGAACAAGCAGTTTTTTATATTTAGATAGCTTCACTGACTCACCCTTTGTCTCATCATCTGTATTGCCAGCGGATGTGGAGGGTGTGACCGCCGCTGCCTGTTCCTGCCCCTTTTCTCGCTCCTCCTTTGACGGCTTTTGCGGCTGTTGCTTGTGAGATGAACCCGATGAGGAATTGGATAATGCGCCCACGCTGGGCCGTGACTGGGAATTGCTGATGCTAATGCTGCTGCTACCGGCGACTGGACCAGCGCCACTCGGACTGAAGACACTGCCACCGCCGCCCGATGAGGATGACGAGGATGCGACAATTTGCTGCTGCTGGGCAGCTGGTGGTGTGGCCAGCATGATACCCGGAGCACCCGTCTTGAGTGCCACATTGCTCCAGGATGGCGCAGGCTTTAGTACATCCGGGTTGTCTGCATTGCTTGCGAGTTCCTTGAGATTGGCATATGTTTATAAAAGGGGTTGCATTAGTATGCGATCAGCTGACCAACTCCATACACATAACTACACACACATTTAAAGCTTGGTTCATGCACATGAGATTGAGGCTTATGAGTATTTTAAGTCAGCGTGAAATTGTTTATACAGTGTGTGGGAGTGCAATAAAGCTGCTGCCATGCCGGAACTTAAACCTTAAGGATTATAACGTTTTATAACACATATATGAACTGCCTGCCAATCGGACTCAACTCTAAACAACATGAAGCTTCAATTGCAAGGCAAACATATACGGATTTTTTATATGGTGATTATATAAGGCACTTGCACAACCCAATTTGAATGCAAATCGAATAACATATATCGCATATGGGGCTATTATATCGGTTTGTATGAGTATAACAAATCTATCGACTACCTTGGCAATACAATCTATGCTTCTATGCAGGTTCGCATTATCGTTGACTTTTAAACGGGACATCCATTCGGGTGCGTGTAGTTTACTATGTAGTTTATCCTTTAAACAGGAGAAGGATGTTAAAGTCACGTTCGATCAGTTATCGGTTAAGGGAGAATTTGTGTTGTGTAAACAGATACTTTGAGAATTGTTGAGCATGTGTTGCCTACATGTTTTATACTAAGATTCAGTAACGCGATGCTTATTAGATCCTATTAGACCCTTACGAAAATAACATTCTTCACGTATTCTCACTAACTATGAGATTGCAAACAGAATAACTATCAGGGCATAAGTGGACATGTCATTAATAATGTTGATCTGACTTTAAAAGAAAAATGATTCTTTAGCTTAAAAATGTTGACACATATCAAAATGATATATATATGCATTACAGAAATCCTGTGTGCTATTTTTGAAAGACGAGTTTAAAAATAAAACTTTCTCTAAATATATAATCTTTTTAACTAAACTTAATCACACTACATGTACACATATTTATATAAAAAATCAATTTTCCATCTATATTCCGCTCACGGGTTTCATTTTTTGTATAGAACTCGTAGTCAACTTTTATGTATACTAAGCTTAGGATGAAAGTTTGGCTTTAGGACATAAACCTTATGTATAAAGATACGCCCTTTAACATATGTGTACATATCGAACCTATCCTACAAGATGTATCTAAACCTATTTTTCGTTAAGCCTATTGAAATAGCATTGCATTTCAGTCCAGTAAAAGTGACAGGATAATGAAAATTGATCAAACTACTCACTACATCAACCACAAATGTTTCATTGTTTTCTTGTGGCACGCGGTCATATTACATAATAATTAGCACTAAGATACGTGGGTTAGTAGTCAAGTATTAAGTTTTTTTACAAATTGTCAGTCTACAAGAAAGTGTATGCTATGTTATAAAATCAGATTGTGAAGCAACTTTAAGAGATTGTGTGTGTGTGTGTGTGTGTGTGTGTGTGTGGGTGTGTTTGTGTGTGTGGGTATTTATCTAGGGGAAAATTAATTGAAATTGAAATATGCTGAGCTATGCCTTACGCTCATCTGCAATTGAGTTGCGCTCTCGACGGATATTTTACGCGTCTTGCTGTACGGCGGAATCTCTGCGATTTTGTTTGCCTGTTGTTGTTGTTGCTGTTGTTGTTGCTGCTGTTGCTGCAGCTGCTGTAGTTGAAGCTGACGCATCGAAGTGCGCTGTGGACTGCTGCCCGTACTGCTGCCAGTATGATCAGCCGAATCGCTTGATTTCTTACGGAACGGCGGTATTTCCGGTATATGCATCGATTGCAAACTTGAAGCGTAGCTGGCAGCGGCAGAGTTCAGGCCTAGCGTGCTAGCTGAAGCGCTGTAAGGTGGCATATTTCATAAGCGAGAGGAAAAAGAGAATAAAGAACAAATATAGAGTGTAAATTGTAAGATGTTGAGTAAAAAAGAGTATCAAGCAGGGGTATTCCAGTATTCCATAAACTAGTTTAGCCTTTTCTTTAGTTTTCTTTAAACCATTTTCTCAATTTCGATCACGTTTGAAACCTAATTTTACTTATTTATTTACGTAATTTTTCGTATATTTCTTCCTAAATTTACAAAATAATTTCAAGTGTTGCACGTAAATATTCTTTAATAATTTAATTAATTTTATTAAATTATATATTATTTTATATATTATATTTTTAATGAAAATTAATCAAGTATAAATTAATTATTAATAAATAAATCACAATTTATTTATTTATTATTTATTAATTATTAATTTAATCAAATAAATTTAATCAATTAAATCATTTGCTGGAATACCCCTACCAATTATTAAAAATAAATATATATAAACAGCATAGTTCATTTAAAAAATTTCAAATAGTATAAGAATCGATTATATTAAATAGAAGCAGCTTGTAAAGTGAAGAATTTGCCAATGAGAGAAATGTTTTGCATCACAAATTTTGCGTTTCGTAAAGCGAAAACAACAACACACAGCAAAAAATGAGAGCACAGCACAGATATAACAACAATATATCAATTGATTACTTTTTTTTATCAGACATCTAAATATTTCAGCTATAAAATAGACAATTTACCCGCTAAGCAGCTGTTGTTGTTGTATTCTTTGGCTGTGTGTTGACAGAGCACTCAAATTGCGCACCGAATATCCAAGAAATGGCGGTATTTCCGGTATAAACAATTGCGATTTTTGCCTACAACTTTTACAAGCGCTATAAAAAGATTTATGGGCAAATGCGTTTGTGGTATTATATTAAAAGAGAGGCCAGAGGTAATTACAAAAAGATATAATTAAATATATAAATATACGACGATGCTGGGAAGAAATTATTTAAGAACTTTGAAATTGCGACTGGGATATTTATAAATGCGTGTGTGTGTGTGTTTGTGCGTGTTTGAGTGCTTTGAGTGCTTATGGCATATGTGAGCTTTATTATTCAGCCCTAAGACGGACTTAATTGACTTCGCGTGTGCGGAATACTTAGCAGGTAACCCTAGCCGGGCTGCCCCACTTACCCATTGCCATCCTGATGCAGGCTGCTCAGCGAGGCACCACCGTGCGGCGGTGTCGATTCATGCAACGGTCTTATTAGAATTGTGCTCGTCTGTAAGTCATTTAGTTTTGTAAGCTTTAATATATTAATAACACGCTCAGCTTAAGACGCACCTGCGATGGCGGCGAATCGGGCGAGGAGTCGCGATTCTCATAAATATTAACATCCGCCTCAATGCTGCGGCCATAGTTGGCGGCCAGCTCGTGGCCATACAGCAGCATATCATCGGCCAGTTGACTCTCCATGGACTGATCGTGCGTGGTTTCGGCGCCCGTGCACTCCTGTTCCGGCTGTGTGGATGTGGTTGAGGGCGGCGTCGGCGGTGTGGGACGCGGTGAGGTGCCCTTGCACTGCATCTCGCGGCGACAATGCTCGGCACGGGCTATCTCCGCCGCCAGCCAGGAGGGCAGTTCCGGCAGCAGCCAAGTCAACGCCTGCCGCAGTCCCAGCATAATGTGCTGTGCATATAAAGAAGAAAGTGTCATATTAAATTTACGATATCTATAAGATGAAAGATACTTGATTTGTGTATACTATTCTAGAGGCTACATGTCAAGTTTGCTGACTCTAGCTTTTAAAATTTACGAGATTTACCAAAACATACATGATTTCAATATCGATTTTTATCGATTGCTTGCAAACGAGGCAAGTTATCGATTATTGGAAACAAACTCGTACTCGTACTCACCGCTAGGAGGACATACTTTAAAAGATTCAGTATATATCTTTCACTTATAGGTTCTGACATCGACGCCTACCTATATACGGACAGGCGGACAGACAGACAGACGGACAGATAGACGAACCGACATGGCTGGAACAGCTAGGATATTAATGCTGATAAAAAATATATATACTTAATTTTTAAAAAACCATTATAGCCTTAGAAGCCATTTTCAATAGGTTCAAGGTATCAAATAGTTAAACTGAACCGTTTTCCCTCTATTCTCCAACCAGCACCAGGTATTTATTTGAACCCCTATCTCAGTCTTAGTGGGACGCCGCTGTGAACATACCTCCAGTGTGACTATTAATATTATAGTTTGTGCAGTGGTCAATCCAGGCCACAGACGAGACACCTGGCCGGACAGGCCAATCAGTGCACAATTGACAATAACCGCGGCCAGCGACAATATGCTCAACGCATTCTGCCAGGTGCCAATGTTGGCCACACGCTGCCCAAACGGCCGCTGATGCACATGCGCCAGCTTGAACGCATCCGAGCGTATCTCCATCAGATTGTTAATTAGCGCACAAATCCCGGCCAGCGGGAAGGCAGCCGAAAAGAGCACCACATAGCCCATCTGGACCAGCATCTCCAAATGATCCGAGAATGTGCCATCGTACTGCAAAAACACACAAGTTAAAAATTATTCAAAATAAGTTTACTTCTTGGACACAGGCTTTCCACAACATTCACAGTTTTAGCGTAAACCTAACTAACTTGTTGCGGGAGGGTTTTCATAGATTTCTTACCTTGTATAATGAACTCTCAATCTCGGCCTGTCCAATGTTTCGCTTGCTTGCCGATTGCTGCTGTTGCTGCTGCTCCTGTTGTGCCACAGTTTTGGGCGTGGCAGCTGCGTCAGACTTAAGCTTCTCCTCGGCGGTGGCCAGTTCCTCGGCTAGACTACGATTCACATGCTGCGTGGGACTGAGAGCGCCCCACATATTAAAGCTCAACTTGGCCAGCTTCCATTGCTCCAAGACATAGGGTATAGCCGATTCGCGTAAATTGCCAATTATTTGCCGAGAGATGAGTAGGCCAGCCAATTGCTGCAACATATCAAGGAAGCAATTAAAAGTCATAGAAAAATAATGCAATTTATTTAAATGTACGCACCTCTTTGAGTTTATCCTCATCGCGCAAATAGAAGGCAATGTAGAAGAGCGAGAGAAACGAGTTGACAAATTGAAAAAGCGCCACTTTAGCAATCAAATGATTCTCGTACTTCGATTGCAGCCGATAATTTTCTATATAGATTATACATAAGAGTTTCTCCATATGGCGTAATTGTTTGATCAAGCTTTTACCTCTGTCATTAAGCCAAACGGCCAGCTTAAAGTAGGCCTCATCCATCAAGGTAATAGCACCAGCCAGCAGCACCTTGGGTATCACACTCAGGCAGCACAGGACACTGTCCTCCGGCAGCTTGGAATCCCACCAATCCTAACGCAAGAGCAAAGAAAAATAAATGAAGCTAATGAGTGCTTATTTACGCTAAATTAACCAACTTTACTTTGAGTAAGAAGAGGCAGCCGGCAGGCTTCTTATTAACAATTAATACATCATTTTATTTCGCCAGCAATTTAATCATTACACACGCCCTTCATTTACCAAATCGTAGCTTAATTTGATTACATTATGATATATCCGTTGTGTGAGACTTGGCATGGGCTACGGCTTGCGTTTTTGTATACAACATTGCGGTTCTGGCCATGGGATCAAACTGACATGCGCTGTCTCCAGGGTTAACTCGCAAAAATTAAATGGCACTTGTATTGCGCAGACTAGCCAATTTAAAGAATAACTATAGACTATAAGATATCCTATATTAGAACTGAGTACACAACATTCGATAAATATATGAGAACTATTTTGCAAGTTGGCGCATAGCTTCTGATGTATATACCTTGAGGTATTCCATTCCACATCTTATGCAAATTATATATATATAGCATATAGCAAATTTTGGAGTATTGAGTCTTTTATTTATGTAAATACGAGTTTTAAAATTTTTATATTTTTAGTTAACTAAATGGTTTGCATATATAGCTCCTCATATATTAACCCAATTTGTGGTACACAGCTCTAAACTTCATTAAATACAAACGAAATTATAAATTTACAAATATTTTAAGTTTTAATATTTACAATTTTTTTCTATAAAATGCTAAAACATTTAATTTCGATTTTCCAGAAACTATCAACTTGTTTTATAAGCCCTTAAAATGTTTAAACAGTTGAATAAGAAAGATTCACGGTGTTGGAAAACAATAACTAACACCAACACCAAGCGGCGCCTTTATAAATAGTTTCTTAACACTAGTCTTAAAAGATTTGTTTCTCTTCAGATCAGGTTACAGGAAATCCTCAAGCTGTGCACTCTTCACAAAACAATGTGCATTTGTCAAATTATTTCTACGCAATGACAAGAATTTACATATACCCTTTAGCCAGTCATTTTGCTGGGTATTTATAGCATACAAAAAAAAAACAACGTCTACCACAAGCCGGCTCTCATTTTACACAAGAACAAAAGCTGTTTGCGCTTTTTAAACTGCCTTCACTTCCGTGAGTGTGCGTGTATTGTGAACGTGTTGTGTTTTGGTTATATGTGTGCGTCTCTTTTGTCTTGATGCATAATTTTCAACTTAATTAGCAGCTTGTTGTAGCAAGGTAGTTGGTTAAACTGCCAACTGAAATTCATAATTTACGCCGCTCGTAGGCAAAAACAGCCTAGGACTAAACAAGGACAAAGACAAAGAAACAAAGGGCGGCACATAATGAATGACTAAAAGTGCAAAATGTTTGGTGCATTTAATTTATAGTGTATTACATAAAAAAGGTAAGTATTCATTCACTCGACAAAAGTTGTATCTGATCCAATAGCTCATTCATAGAGAATTGCAGTTGAGAAACTAAACAGAAACTTTTAGAAAATCTAATTCAGCACAGACAATATTCCTTTAAATCACAGATAATTCCAGCACTTCGTTTATATTATATAATATTTAAAAAAAAAATATTTAAATATTTATATGTATTATATATTAAATAATAGTTTGCCTTTGAGCTTAAGAGTTTAGCCTTCTTCTATTATATATGTTATTTTATGTTATTTTTGATAGATATTTATGTGTATATTAAAGATATATGTAGCGCTGTCTAAGGCCATTAGCTTTAATACTAGCCATAAAAGCTTAACTTCAATAAATATCTTTTTAAGCTTCTTGGTGCAACACGCACAGCTTCAGACCAAGCACCTGACATTTGTATTAGCAGCTCGAGCACAGCGCATTAGACCTGGCCTCACAACACAGTTACCTGCCACTTGGCCACACAGGTATTTAGCTCTTTTGCAACACTGCCCAACCTGCTGCTCGTGACAACCCACACACCCACCCACACACACACACACATGCAGAAACAACTGACGTGCCTCATTATTGCAACTAAATGTTTCGCTTTGTAAAGCTTAAATGTCATTGTCCAAGGTTCAGTTATCCGGAAAACTTTTTTTATACCCTGTACCCAATGAAAATGGGTGTCTACAGTATATAGCAGTTGTTGTGCAGTCGCACATACAATATACATATCTTACATTACAAAGATCTTACAATAAGCACATAAATTATTTAAGTATTAAATTTCCATCGTTTAGGTAAGTGCGATACTATGTTACAGCATCTAGAAGCTGCGTACAGGGTATCTTCTAGTCAGTGAACAGTCAGAGTGACTAGTTTCACTTGTTTATATTAAGCCAAGGACCATGCATGAAAGAGTAACAGCAGCAACAAAGTGCATCAAACTAACATGGCAGCTGCAACAGCAGAAATAACAAAAAACATGTCAATTGTCAGGTCAACTTGTAGATAGTCCCAGTGGACTTGGTTCGCTTGAATAGAGGGTAGCGGAATGTGCAGTGGTGGCTCTTTAACACTTTTGTGATCTAAGTAGAAAGCTTAAAGATTTCAGAAGTATATATTTACATATAATTTGTAGAATAAATAATGCTGCTTTTCATATATTTAGGACATTTTTTCAGAATTATTATCTCTGTCAAAATTGGCCACAAACACAGCTGATTGATAAGGCAGCTAATCTAAGCTAAGCTTCTTCTGGCATAAAACTAGTTGTGAATTATAAGCCCAATAGCAATATGGCTTTAAACTGCGTAAGTTTCTCATAGTCATTTACCAGCTTTGTACTATTCGTTTCACATTAAACTATATTATTTATATATAGCATATTAATATTATATATAGTATTGCAATTATTTATCCGCATTGTATATTAAACATGCATGTTTATAGTTTTTTAGCTTACACTCATTTTTATGTGCAGCAATTCGTAAAAGTCTCAGTTTCGCTTAGTTGCTTCTAAAAATGTTTCGCCTTTCTTTAAGCTGTCCTTAATTCTTTCATGATGAGAAAATGCTGCTAATCTTTTGAATGGCGGCCGCGGGGGGGAACGGGCCTGCCTAAATGATTTCTTTGCTAAAGTGATATGTGCTTCTTCTTGCCTTTGTTGTTGTTGCTGTTATTCCAAGCATTCAATTGTGCGTAAAATATGGCGAATGTCGAGCAGTGCGTAGTCCCGCATTTTGTCAATGCCAGTTTTTGGTTTCTATTTCGCTTTTCTGCTACTTCCGCATATTTAAACAGTGTCCTCGCCACAGGCGTCTTTTTTCTTCTTGCTTGCTCAGCATTTTAATTAATGTTAACTGACAAGTCACTGTGGAGTGTGCGTGTGTGTGTGTGCCTTCAAAAAATAGGTATGCAAATGGATGCCCAAAAGGCATTTGGAAAATGTCTTGCAAAAGCGTGTGGCAAAAGTTTTAATTAAAACATGACCCGCAGATTCTTTTCAAATGCAACCAGCCACTTGTTTTTAGCCAGCTAGCCAGCCAGTACCAAGAACTGCTTTAAATGCATTCCATATTATAAGAATTTTTCGTATTTTTTTTACTTTTGTTTCTGTTACCTTGTCTCAAAATGTTCAAAATTCGTATAAAGTACTTTCTTAACCCTCAGCTATAGTATTTGCCAAGTCGGCTAGCGGTCATTTGAAATGTGAATAATTAAATTGAATAAATATCCATTTGATCAATCATTAACTATATTAACAGTTTACCAACACTGGTTTAGAAATTGATACTAATTATAGCACTCAATTATTTTTGGATCTTATACCAAACCTTTTGCTAATTTCCACACAAAGCTAACTAAATTTCCTTTCAATTCTGATTTAAAATATTTTAACATATTTTCTCGTACTTCTCATTTAGCTGTAAAAAGTGTTTGACTGTTTTTTCACACAAAATCTAACGTCAAAATGTTATGGTAATAAACGACCAATAAAATTCGTATACTGCGTGTTAATAATGACATGATAATAAATACGACTACAAGACGAACGCGCATAAAATATAAAAGTTGAAATGTGAGCACAACATATTTATTACTAATAATAATAATAAGTTTAAAAAAAATGAATAAAAACCTTGTGCAAATTATACATGCATTGAGCAATTCCTTTGTCGGGTATTTTATGATGATCCAGCCAATCCTGTGGAAAGAAAGAAATAACAAACAAACGGAAAAATGAAACGGAAAAGAATGAAAATAATTCAATGAGGCGTGATGTATGATAAATAACGTTTTCATTTCATTTGATTTTCTGTTACTGTATTTGTGTTTGTTTATTGGCAATGCACAAAAATAAAAGCAATGGAAAACAATAAAAAACAAAAGCACAAGCGACAAAAATGGTGTGCGCATAAAAAGTCAAATACAGCAACACGAAGCAAACGGAAGCCGGGCAAATAAGTGTGTGAATAGGTGCTGTGTGTGTGTGCGTGTGTTTGTAAGTAAGTATGGCTGCTTAATGTGCCGGTGGGCGTGTGTGTGTGTGTGTGCGTGTGTATTTGTGTGCGCGTGCCCATAAAAGCGCGAAGGGCAGCAACAACAGCGCTAATGAAATGAGAAAGGATACCGTTAAGCAAATTGATAAACACGGCCCCACACACACACACATTAGCAATAAACCCACATACAAATAAACGCAATCCCTCGACACACACACACACACACACACAGAGATTAGCAGAGTTGGGTTTTATCATAAGTGTAAAACAATATCAATTATACGCACTGTGTGATAATCGTGCAAATTGCTCGAAAGGAATATTTAATTTGTAATACCCTTGCAATAAGAGCAGCTCTTTGGCTGTGTGTTTAGCTCTTCGAAATGCAGTTTATCTTAGCTAAAGTAATTAATTTTGTGCATTTTGTATTAAATACCATAAATACTATAATAAACATATTTATTTATTTTTTAAATTTTATTTTATTTATGTTATCTTTTTTTCCATATATTTAATTTATTTATTTTGTTTATATTTTTATTTATTTTATTTATTTAATCAATTTCAATTTTTTTTTCATTTTATGTATATATTTATATTTTATTTCTTTTATTTATGTTATTTATTTTATTTATATTAATTATATTTATTTTGATTGTTTAATATTTTATTAATTAATAAATCAGAAGAAACACATATTGATAACAGACATTTTTGCTATATCACACAAACTAATATTTCTCCTTTTTTGCAAGGGTATTGAGTAGTCGGTGAACCGAAATATTTGCTCTTTTATTTATCTATAGGTTCACTCACCTGGAAGCGCAACATGAGAAACATCACAGCAAACACCATGCAGAGGCACAGTCCAATCACAGGAAAGCTGACCAGATAGCGAAAGGCGCGACGCTGCCAAGCGGGCGCCTCCTTCGGCTCCAGGCGACCCGTCACATTGTTCTCCTCCAGCGGGCCCTAAAAACCCAGCAAATCAACGGCTTAGTCAGGCCAAATTGTTAGGTAATCAATGGCAATTTACCTTATAGAGCGGCCTGGGCGGCTCAAGCAGTTCTGGGGGCGTGGAAAGCGTGCCCCAGCGAAAGGCCAGCTCCACGGAGTAGCGTTTCCAGGCCTCCAAATACAGTGAAGCCCAGGCCACATTGAACAGCGAGAATAGCACATGGCCCATATCCTGAGCGGTTTGACCCTTGCCCCACAGTATGCAGTAAAGTATGGTGCCGAAAACAGCTGGCACGCCCAAAGCGCAGGTGTAGTGGCCCAGCCAGGCAAAGTACAGTGCGACCTTAACGCCAAAATAGGCTGCTATGTCATCTGAAAAACAAAGAAACAAAAGTCAAATCAAAGCCGAAGTTTAAATACCGTAATGGCCTTACGACTTAGCGATTATGTGAGGGGAATTGTGAAACGGAGTTTGGGGAAGATATTTTGGAAAACTGAACTTTATTTCATCTAAAACCTTATCTTAAACCGATTCTACCTTCCTTTCTTCTCCCATCTGATATAGTAAGGCTGATGTTGAATACGACTTTGCAATATTTATTGTTAAAAATACCTTGAATAAAAAACAAGTTTTAAGACCAGCATCTAATTCTTGAACGATATTTCTTTTGATTTTTTTCAATATATCTTTCATTAAGCTCATATTCTTTAAAATTATTCAAATGCATTTAAATATGTTTCGCCACTGAAATTGATTTCCAGGCAGACTTACCCAGCGGCTGCGGCGCAAAGATCTGCTTGACCCAGTGCGTTTGGAGCTGTGTCAGGGAGCGCGTCTCGTGCAGCGGAAAAACCTGTGTGATTAGACCCGACTCCTGCCAGGCGGCGACAATGCTCTGGCCCTCGGCGACTGTGGCGCGTCCCTGCAACGCATCAATATCACTGCAACCGGCGCGTAGACCCTGCAGCACCTGTAACACCAGCCACTGGCGCTCCTGGGAAGTGAACAATGCGGTGCTGCCCACATCGCCGCGCAGCTGTTGGAAACAGTGACTCTCGCGGGTGGTGAACTCACGCAGTGCGCCGCCCAAGTCCGGACGTAGACGTTTCGGCAGACGTGCCTCCTCCGCCGCTTTGAACAGGCTGCGGAAATAAGAGTTGATTAATATTGAGAATGATTCACTTACTTAATCAAATGAATTTAAACTCTAGTTTAAAATATATTCATAAATAATTTCTTGAAAATTTTATTTATGATGATTATTAATTATATTTCTTGCACTTACACATTAACTGGCGCGCTCACATAGAAGGCATTGCGTCTGGAGCTCTCGTGTGCCTTAACCTGAACTAACAGCCCCAGACCGGCTGGTGGCTGAGAGCGTATGCGTGCCAGTAGCCAACGTAGTGCCTCATCTGGCGCATCCTCGGGAAACTCAATGACCACATCGCATTGTGTGGGTATTTTGTTGAGCCAAAGGCGACGCGGGGTCATTAAATGGCCGGCATAGGGCACTTTGCGGCGTAGTTGGCGGGAAGCTGCAAAAGAAATTCAAATTAATTGCTAAGTACAGAATCGCAGAGCTCAAACTAGAAAAGCGAGACGTAAAGATACCCTGCAGGGCATAAAAACGTTTTTCCTGTAATGAATTTTGTGCTCCATATACTATTTTTGGGCACACTTTTAAAAGTTTCAATCTAAAATCTAGTTTATTAAATTTATTTATAATTAATTGAATTTATTGGTAACTAATTTTATGCCCGTAGCTTATGTTGTCTCTAAGGGTGGATTGATGGAGAACTCATATGTCACATTTGTAAAATCTGCCATTTTACACATTTGCAAAAGTTGCAGCGTATTATAAAAGTAATATATTTTTATAGCTCATTCTTAACGAAAAGCCTAGGAGCAATTTGTTTTCTATTAATATTTTTGCCTGGATTTTGAACAAATGCGAGAATACATTTTTGTTGCGGTTTATTTAGACCGAACGAATGCATATTTATAGACTACAGCAAAAAGTTATGGTAGAATTGTGTAGGTAACAATGGAAAACTGGCGGCAGTGCAAACTGCTTTTAATGCAGCTAGCGCAAAAAAGCAATAAGACCATTAGATGCATATAAAAAGCACAGCTGCAGATACGTATGCAGATACAGATACGAGGTGTGTCCTTAAAGTTGCAGAAGCAAATGCAAAGTTGTTAAGAGTTTGTAAGCAAGGACAATAATTAAACAAGATTCGGTCTTACTGTTGAAGGCATCGGGCAACTATATCAAATAGCTGCCACAGGAACGACCAGCTGAAAGTTAGGTTCTTGTATGGAAAACTGTTTTGCTTATCAAGAGATCTTGTGCAAAATCTTATTAGCATTGGACCACTATATCATGGAAGCTGCCAAAGAAATAATCCATCGATAAGTAGCTTTTTGTATGGACAATTTTTGTTTAACAAGATATCACGATGCTACTTGTACTATATGAGCAATGTCTTGTTAATCTTGTTATCTGAAAACCCCCATTGCTTATGAAGATAACTAAACCAACCACACTTTTTATGAGTTTCGCTATGCTTCTTATATAAGAATCATATAGGTGCAATATTAGGCGTAAATGTATTTCATGTATAAACCATTTTCCTTTCTTCAAGTCATATTCACCATCTCAGCTATTGCAAGCTGCACAATTCTTTTCAAACATCTGAGCCGTGACCCATAGAGTACCTATTGCACAGGGCTATCTAATCTTTCTGGAGCTGTAAATATACGTTTTTGATGCATGTTTCGAGCAAATATTGTTAAAGTTGCGTTTTATTATTTATAGAAAAGCTCTCGAGCTTATGTGTCAAGAAGCGGCAATAGCGCACATGACATACATAGCTCAAATATGACACAAAAAGCCGCACAGCCTGCAGTTTGGCGTGTTGCATAACCACTGCAGGTACAAAAGACGTGCGTGGGGAGGGGTCGGCAAGCTAACAAGCAAACAAAAAAATAAAGGTAAATAACAAACCGCAAAAATTTGCCACAACTTTTAATTAGAGAAGGTGGCAGCCCGCTGCAACGAACACAACAACAAGTGACAAAAAACTTGAGAACTGCTAGAAATGCGAAAAGCAACAACAACAAAATTTGACTAATGACAGCAAAGAAAGTCAGGACATGCAAAAAGCGAACCAGAAGGAGCTGTGCTCCTTAGACTTTGATATCTACAGCACCATTTGGCAGATACGCGAGGTCGTAATTAATATTGAGAATAAGTCAAGGCCTGGTCCGTAGCTGATAGCTGGCTAGAAACTTGCGGCAAAAGTCAAACTCAGCTGCATTTTTACTTATCAACAGCTTTCACTCCCCATTAAACAAATGACAAATGCAAATGGCAACCTTTAATGGCTGCATCCATGGTTTGTCAAGGTTAATTTGGGTCAACTGGCAGCGAGCTAACTTCTTTGTGATAGATTGGGGAAAGAAAGTCAAAGAAGCTTTTTGGTTCCTTTAAGTGCTGGCATTGCTTAATAGAAAAGCTATAGTTAAACAGTTTCCTTTTGTTAGATCTAGACACTATAGCAACTAGGAATCGATAATTAGAGCACAAATTGGCAACAGCTTTACTTGATACATTTAGTAAAAAAAAGTAGCTAATTCATTTTGCAAATTTAAACTCTTTAACCAGACCATTAAACTGACCTTTTAAACCAACCATTTTAGCCTGATAATCTGAAGTGTGTGAAAATGGACAATTTTTGCTGGAAAATAACTGAATTTTCATGGTTTGTCATCTTTATCAATATTGTGACTTATTTCATTATTGCCTACGAACCTGAATGCTCTCTGTTAAGTTATCTAACTGGGACAGTTAAACATGTCAACTTCTGAGAACTGCTTTCTTAAGATAGTTCTGATAGATATTATCTTTTCTTTTACAGATATATTATATTAGAATTTTTCTATAAATATAAAACTATATTTGATTTTAATCTATATGCTACATTATGATTGCATGCATACTATTCAAACATATATCCTGCTCTGTTTTTTTTTAGTTAAGTGAAATACATCTGGACACTTTATCAAAAAATGTAGTTGCTCTAGATTAATATCTGGCCTAGCCTCATTAGCCTCATTATATTATCTAATACTATCAAATCAACTGAATATGTTACGGAGCCAAAACGCATTGCCATATGCTTTACTCCTGAAGCCCTACATTAATCTTTCGCACTAACTCTTCATGTGTGTGTGATCCCTCTGCGGGAAGAACAGCTGCGTGTGTGTGTGTGCTTGTGTGTGTGTGTGTTTGTGTGTAATCCCTTCATTGTGTGCATTTTATGAGCAACGCGTGCGGTGCGTGTCGCCAATGAAATTGTTGATCCCTTTTGGGATTGTACCCTATGCGAGAAGCATATTAAAATGGCAAGCGGACATTTCGCATGTTCTTTGGGCGGGTTTATTGGCTAAAATTTGCATTGATAATTTGCTCGACGTTTGGCAACACAAATTTACAGCTCATTTGCAATGCGGCCATCAACAAAATTGACAATATTCATTGTGTGTACAGGCCGGAATTACACATTTAAAGCTTAAATATATATATATGTGCACACATATAAGCTACATATATATACATGCATAAATCTAGGCGGACACAAAGTTTGCTCCGGTTTTATTTATGGAACTAATTACCGCGCTTTGGATTTTGTGATTTATATACAAGTGGACAAATTCTGCGAGCCTAATGAGTTTTATAAATTTATAAATATTCGGCTGATGAGCTCTGGTCGCCTTCGATAAAGATTGCAATCTATCTAAATGAGTTTTGTGTATAAATAGCTGCAGCAAATCCAACCGAAATGCCAAATGCCATTTTATGCGAATTTCAACATAATTAGGGCTTTCACGTTGGGCTTATTTTGAATTATTTTTAGAACGATTTCAGCATAAATTCACTTAAGGACTTTCTAATAAGCTAAACTTATTATTCAGCTATATATATCACAGCTTTTTTTCCGACTGACTGACTGTGTGATTGCTGTCTGAGCGTCGAAATCACAAGCAGGAGTAAATAATAAATTTATCAAGAACTTTGCTCAAAATATCTTGAATATCAATTATTTTCTAGCTATATAGTGCTCAGATCCCGCCGAGTTCGACATATGTACTGACTGCTACCGATAATTTCAACTGTATGTGTATTAAAGGGAATCCATGCCAAAAACTGCACAACTTCTTATGTGGAGCACAGTCAACACCAGCTACAGTCGACAGTCCCACTGACATCGCTGAAAAGTGCCAGCAAATGCGTTCGTCTGTTAAATCAGCAGCAAGTGGAGCTGGCAGGAGAGAGGGTAAGGCTGCTAGCTGGAAGCTGTGCAACTGTGCCCTGAATAATTAATGAAATCGGCTCTGACGCGGGCGTGTGTTAAAAGCGCATTGGGGCAGAGCCGAGCAGAGCCTTGGCTGCCTCCAGGCTCGAGGCACGAGGCAAGCAAAAAGGTGGGGTGTGAGCAGCGTAATTTGTAAGCGTTGCGTAAGCCCGAAAGCCGCTGGCCACCTAGAAGCGCACCCAACCCCAGCAAGAAATGGCTCAAATTTAATCAGTTGCTGGCAACAACTAGCTTAAGCCCGTGTAATTGAGTGAGCCGAGACCGTTGCGAACATACTCGAGAGCACTGTGAAAACAGTTTATGTTTTAATTAGCCAAGCGCTGATGACATTGACGAGCGACTAAACTGACGAAAGTAACTCATTAGCAATTGCGCGCTTAACGCAATATGCTCTAATTGACTAAACGCATTTAATTGAAATCAAACGATGAAGTTTTCATCATTATGTTGAGCGCATGTCGCGACACAGACAGTCTAGAGGAAATCGTTACGCAATCAGTAAGATTCCAATCTAACGCATTTTGATGTCTTGTAAAATAATTGTTTAAGAAAATTATATAGACATATTGCCATGTGGACAGGACTACATTTGAAAAATCCAAAACTGTTGCTAAAATTGACCTGAAGACAATTGGGAATGTTTAACCTTGCGGCAGGGAGGTAGAAAATTAAGTTGGCAAGTCAAACCACAGACAAGCTTAAGTATTTATAAACAGGGATTCAGTGAGCAGCGTTAAGTCCTTTAAAAAACAGTTTGGACTAAGCGTAAGATTGCTTTAAATCATGCAAATTGTGGTAGAGTAGAGAGCTAAAAGGTGGTTTAAGTTGGAGAGCTAGTTTAAAGGTTTTATCACATATATATTTATGTAAGTACATATTAGCATAAATATAATTGTCCTTAGATTTTGAAAATCGCATGGAAAGGCTATATTTTAAAAAGAGAACGAGAGAGAACACAGAGAGGGCAACTAAAAAGAGATAGCGCTTAAGAAAGAGATCGAAAAAGATTCAGCGAACAATAACCAATAAGATTTTTTTTTTAATTATTGAAAATCGCATAGAACGGCGGAAACGGAAACAGAAATTACAAAAAATAACTTCAAATTATTCTAGTCGAGCGAGCTGTGTTTAACAATACCCTGTACCCAATGGCAGAG